ACACACACACACACACACACACACACACACACATATATATAGGAAATACTACGGCGTACGGCCGGATCCAACATAAAGGTAAAATGTGCACTGTCGAGGGTCGAACGGTGCGAACCATAGATGCATCTATTTTTCACGCTCGCGAATCATACATGTGACGTGGTCCCCGCTCGCGAATCATACATGCGACGCGGTCAAATATAAATTAATGAACTTACCCGCTCGCGAATCATACATGCGATGCGGTCAAACAAATTAATATTAAGTCATATCTCTTTCTTGTACTTCTTTTTACGAAATTAACTGGTAAAATTAGTCTAAGTAACTNCTCCTGATTGACCATGTTTGACTTGTCCTTAGAGCGGGTGTTGTAGGGATGGGTTGCCAGAATGCCAGTCAACTTAACCACTTGCCTGGACTCGTCAACAACAACTTTGTTAGCGGTTAGGGCATTAGCAGATAGATAACTGCACATTGAGGGGTGAATGCACCTAAGCAATTAACCATTTCTATTATGCCTTTGCTCAGTCACATGCGTCATCCCGGCTTGCCAATTGTAAACTTTCTCTTCTCTTTTCTTTCCTTTTCTCCTCGGTTTTCCTTGTTCCTAGCCGCTTTTTTCCTCAAAATTATTTTTCCACTCTTATCTTTCCTTTTTCTTGCCCTCTTTTTATCTTTGCTTTCTTTTCCTCTTTTGTTTTCCTTTCCTTTTTTGTTTCTCCCACGTTTATTAATGTTACGGTCGAATCCTATGGAAATTGCCTACGTATCACGACCCCGCGTGAATCCGACCAAGCGTAGTTCTTGCTAATAAATGCGAAAAACAAATGCAAGAAAGAAACAATTTTCGGGAAATTTTCAAGTTTTCATTAATAACAACTGCAATTACAAAGCTACTAAACTATTTGTTTTTTTTTCCGGAAAAGAGAAGTACAAAAACCAGACTCAAAAGCAGAAATACAGACTCGATTATCTAGGAATACATCAAAGCTTCAAATCCTGGGGCCCGCGGGGCATCTCTCGGCATCGCCGCGGCCCTGCGTGCGAGACCCTTTTGCAACTGATCCAAATCATTCATGACCTGGCAGACGAATATCATCACGGAAGCAAAGAACGTGGTACGACCCATCCGCTCACCAGCTTGGCACTTCATGACAATGTAATTGGCAATGTTTCTAATTCGTTCCCTGATTTGGCCCTTTTCTTGGAGCAGCCGACTTATCTGTTGGGTACGAGCCTCTAGTACCTGAGAATCTTGGAGGTGAAGGTCTTGTAACAACTTTATTTCCTTTTCCATCTCAGCGATTAACCCATAACACTGTTCTCTGTCGGCCCGAAATTCTTTGTCCTGCCGAGCGGCCTTTTCTTCAAGAGTATTCATTTTTCTTTTCATGTTAGCAATGGTTCCCTCATAGTTCTTCTTCATTTGTTGTACAAACTGGGCCCTTTCCTCGGTATTCTTTGCCCATTGTGCCCGAAGCTTTGCCACGCTTCCCTCGGATTTTTCTAATTCCTCCTGACAGTCCAGAACTTGTTTCTTCAAACCTTTTATCAATCTTTCGTCAGATAGACTTCTTTCCCGATTCCTGGCATCTATTTTCATTTGCTGAATTTGGGCTTTGAGAGCTTCATTCTCCTGGGCCAGTTTCTTCTTATCACCTTCGTCGGCTGCGGCTTGCAAAGTGTTTTCAAACCGGAGTTCCTGAACCTGTTTTTCCAGTGCTCCTATTCGGGCCCTATACTCTTTTTCCTTAGCTAACCAATCCCACTGCACCTGAGCCTCGTTAGTGAATTGTTGCACATGTGGCCTTTTGGCAGGTCTCTCGGGAATCTGGAATCTCTTACCAAACCAGACCAAGTATTTGGGATCTACCTCACCATTGGCTCGGTCCTGTACTATAGTCTTGGGTTCAAGGTAGGGCTGTGCACGGATCGGATCGGATTGGATTTAGCATATTTCGCATTCGGATTTCGGATTTCGGATTCTGAAAAGGGCAATCCGAATCCGATCCGAATTAACATTGGATCGGATCGGATTTTAAACTTTGGATCGGATAATTTTTTGGATTGTCGGATCGGATTGTCACTCACTGGAGTACTTGTTCGAAGTACATAAATAGATGCTGGCAATCATTCCTTGACAGACTTACTTTGCATTATGAACTCTTTTTATCCGTATATCTTGAGTCAAATGTCAATTTTACCAAACAAACCAAGTAGCTTCCTTGTCTAACTTTAAGCTATTTGACATGCAATTTTACCCATAGCCTGCAATTTTAACACACACACACACACACACACACACACACACACACATATATATATATATATATATATATAGGAAATACTACGGCGTACGGCCGGATCCAACATAAAGGTAAAATGTGCACTGTCGAGGGTCGAACGGTGCGAACCATAGATGCATCTATTTTCCACGCTCGCGAATCATACATGTGACGTGGTCCCCGCTCGCGAATCATACATGCGACGCGGTCAAATATAAATTTAATGAATTACCCCGCTCGCGAATCATACCTGCGATGCGGTCAAATATAAATTTAATATTTAAGTCATATATCTTTCTTGATTCTTTTTCGAAATAATGGAAATTAGTCTAGAAACTTTCTGAGTAAATTACCCTGCACGCGAAACATACTTGCACCGCGGTTACCTATAGATTTCCTAATCTATTATAAGATTTCTCAATTTTTTTCGAAAATACTAAGTTTAATGAAAACGCTTTAAGTCTTAAATTCCTCAGTTTAAATCCCTTTTGGCACAATTATTACGCAACTTAAATCTTATTTCTTCTCAAGGCAAACAATAAACATAATTCAACAACAATATCAACAAGGCTAAGCTTAAAACTACTCGGACATAGGCATAATAGTAGCTACGCAGGGATTCTCGTCACCTCGTGCGTATGTAGCCCTCACAAATAGAAGCACATAACTAATTAATTTACCTATGGGGACAATTCCCTCGTACAAGGTTAGAAAGGAGACTCACCTTTCTCCAAAGTTCCATAACCGGCATTCCACGCATTTTCAAAGACTCAAACCGATGCACAACACTCCAAAACTAGCCAATAATTATACAAATCCATTAATATACGCTAGAATACTCATTATAATCCAATTACAACAATTTCTAACCTCGATCGAAAAGTTGGTAAAAATTACCCCTGGGTCCACGTGCCCCAATTCAGAAATTCTTCGAAGATAAACTTTACCCATAACCTCACGAACTCAAATATATAATTTACTCTCAATTTCATGTCCAAAATCGTGTACCAAATTTTTAGGTTTTCCTCAAATCCCAACTTTCTACTAATTTCCATGTTAAAACATATACATAATCGATGTATTTAACTCAAATTAGTATAAATCACTTACCTCATGCTTGGTGGTGAAAATGGCACCTCAAAATTGCACCAATTTAAAGAACCTCACTACCTCCAGCATTTTCGCACCTGCGGTCACTTGACAGCTTCTACGAATCCGCAGGTGCGGCCCCATTACCGCCCCTGTGGTTTCTCACCAGGCTGCCCTTTCCGCTTCTGCACCTCAACTACCGCAGGTGTGGTCCTGCTTCTACGGCTATATGACCACATCTTCTGTATCTTCCATTCTAGCCCAACACCGCATCTGCACCCCTCATGGCCGCTTCTGCGACTCCGCACCTGCGGCCCATTCCTCGCAGGTGCGGTTACACCAGAAGGTAGCTATTTTAGTCCTTCTCCAAATTCCAAAACTAATCCGTTAACCATCCGGGATCCATCCGAGGCCCCCGGGACCCCGTCCAATCACACCAACCAGTCCCATAACTTAATGCGTACCTACTCGAGGCCTTAAATCACATCAAACAATGCTAAAATCACAAATCACACTCCATTTCAAAATTGATGAACTTTAGAACTTCGAACTTCTTCATTCGATGCCGAAACCTATCAAATCACCTTCGATTGACCTCAAATTTTGCACAAAAGTCATATTAGACATTACGGACCTACTCCAACTTCAAAAATCAGAATCCGAGCCTGATATCAAAAAGTCCACTCCCGGTCAAACTTCTCGAAAACCTTCAAATTTCTAAATCTAGCCAAATGACTCCAAAATGACCTATGGACCTCCAAATCCACTTCCGATCGCGCTCGCAATACCACAATCACCATACGAAGCTTTCGGAATCCCAAACAGACATCGATAACACTGAAATGCACTTCAACCCAAACTTATGAAATTCTTCGAGAATGCTAACTTACACAATAGACGTCGAAACGCTCCCGGGTCATCCAAAACCCGATCCGGACATACGTCTAAGTACAAAATGATCATACGAACCTGTTGGAACTTTTAAATCCTGATTCCGAGGTCGTTTACTCAAAATTCAATCTTAGTAAATTCTTCCAACTTAAAGCTTCCGAAATGAGAACTCTCTTTCCAAACCAGCTCCGAATTTCCCGGGATTCAATTCCGACCATGCGTACAAGTCATAATACCTGAAGTGAAGCTGCTCATGGACTCAAACTGCCGAACGACGCGCTAGAGCTCAAAACGACCGATCGGGTCGTTGCAAAAAGTATACAAATAATATATTGCTTTTGACTATTATTTTGTGAGCGACTATAAAGTGTCATTTTTCCCTTCTTTTTTTTTTTGCTAATAAGAATTACATAAGAATAGAAAACTAAAGTTGTGACTATAACTTTATAAAGTTATTTTTAAACTCTTATGTTACTAATTTGACTTCAGTTTATATCGTATATTTAACATCTCTGAAGAATCGTGCATTATATAAAAACATGGTACCTAAAAACATTTTCAATATGCTATCCAAAACTTCATATAAAAAGACATAAATAAACTATACTTTTTTTACTTGTACATGACGTTTAATTGGTAATAAAATATCTATAATTAACAACAACAACAACAACAAAATAGAAAAAACAAACAAAAAAAAAACAGAATTAAATTTTAGTCTAGTGAGGAAAGAAGAGAGGGAGAAAGGGACTTCTTTATGAATATCTGCATTACAAATAACATTATTTGCGTAAGGGCAATTTAAAACATACCAAATACATAGTTGAGGAAATTAAAGAAATTTAAGGTTACATAGAAAATCAATTCAATATTTTTATCACCCCCACAATATAAGCCAATACCCACACATGGACTATAGTCCCGCATCTTATATGGGATAGATAATACTAAGATTTTAGCTAACCAAACACGGGGTAAATGTAATCCCAAATTTTATATCGAAATTAGTAACAAAACGACCCTTAAGTAGAGACACTATGGAGCACAACAGTCTCAACTGTTAGCCCAGGCCCAAATCCAAAAAGTACACCCCAATCAAGGCCTTCACCAGTTGTACCAAGTCCTTCTTTTGCTGAGGCCTTTCTCATTTCATCCAAAATAAACAAAACACAAGCACTAGACATATTTCCATAGTCACTCAACACTTGTCTTGTAGCCCGAAGTTTTTCGGGCTTTAGGCCCAATTTTAGTTCAACTTGGTCCAAAATAGCAGGCCCACCTGGGTGAGCAATCCAAAAAATCGAGTTCCAATCCGAAAGGCCCAATGGTTGGAATGCTTCCATTAGGCTTTTCTCAATGTTCTTGGAGATCAATCCAGGAACATCTTTGAGTAAGTGAAATGTTAGCCCAACTTCACGGAGGTGACCGTCGATAGCTCCATCGCTATCCGGCAATAAAGTTTGGGCTGCAGAGACAAGCTCGAATAAAGGCCTCTCGACCCCTGGAACTGGATCAGAACCTATAATAATCGCGGCTGCTCCATCACCAAAAAGGGCTTGTCCGACCATACTGTCCAAATGAGTGTCAGTTGGGCCACGAAATGTGACTGCAGTGATCTCTGAGCAAACAATAAGGACTCGAGCACCCTTGTTGTTTTCGGCCAAGTCCTTAGCCAGTCGTAGAACAGTGCCGCCAGCAAAGCAACCTTGTTGGTACATCATGAGTCGCTTAACCGAGGGCCGAAGCCCGAGAAGCTTAGTCAGCTGGTAGTCGGCCCCGGGCATGTCCACTCCACTAGTGGTGCAAAAGACTAAATGAGTAATCTTGGATTTGGGCTGGCCCCATTCTTTGATGGCCTTTTGGGCTGCTTCTTTGCCCAATTTTGGTATTTCAACCACCACTATATCTTGCCTAGCATCAAGAGAAGGAGCCATGTATTCACAAATATTGGGATTCTCTTTTAGAATTTCCTCTGTTAAGTGCATGTACCTTTTCTTAATCATTGATTTGTCACCTGCATTACATGGAAAAATTAATTAATTAAAGACAACAATAATCTGCGAGCGAATTGCTTAAACTTAAATTTTGTTAAATGAGCATGCCTTAAAATTTTAAGAAACATTTTTTTCTTTTCAATTTGACGTTTGCACCAGTCTGTTAAATAGAAAAGAAACATTATATAAAAATAATTAAGATTACAGAAAGTCAAACCAAGTTGAGTGCTAATTCAAAATTTTCTTAGTCCAATATTAACCAGGATTATTATCTGTAACAATAACATTATTAAGGAATGTCGGTATCAAAAGAAAGCATATCACGTGGAACACAATTTAGGAACACTACTTAACAAGTAATCATTTACCAGCGGCAAAAAAGAAAAGAAAATTGAATCAAAAACAAAGTTTTGGTATACGTATATATCTTATTTATAATCTAGAAACACATGTAATTATCAAAACTCCAATTAAATTTAAGTTATATAGCCGTCAGTGTAAGAAATTGTATATAACTTAAAATCTAAAAAGAAATGGAATGACTAGTAAAACATAAATAAATATCTTACACATGCGCTTAAATTTCTCCTTAAGCTCAGTCATATGCTCGCTATTAGTGACTCGAAAATAATAATCAGGATAAGTGCTTTGATCAACACAGTTCGAAGGAGTGGCCGTGCCGATGGCCATGATGGTGGCCGGCCCCTTAGCGCGTTGTGCCCTTCGAACCTCCTCGACGGTGACCATTTTTCGCCGGAAAAAATGGTGTTTTTCACTAAGATTCTTGGTGACCTTTGATGGTCTGGTATATATATATAGAGGCTAGCTAGTTTGTGAATAAAGCAACTATTGTACAAGTTATATATTGCTAGTAATAAAGAATATAATATTGCTTGTGTGTTGAAGTGAACTAAGTTTGCCTGGGTTTTGGATATTTATAGAAGAAATTTTCTTAACAAACTGGTAGCTAGTATTCACGTGCTTTAGCAACTTTTTTAGGCCGTCTGGCATATGATATTTTTCTTTTTTTCCCTTATTTTTCCAACTCTCATTTTCCTTTTTTAGGGATGGCAATGGGGTGGGGCGGGACGGGGGCAGGAAGGATTTGGCAAAATCCACAAAAATTTTAACCCGCCCCGCCCCGCCCCGCCCCGCATAGTTATTTTTTCAGCTTGGACCCGCCCCGCCCCGCCCCACGTCTCACTTCTCCATTTTATATTTAAGATAGTATCATTTCCATTTGAAATTATCCAAGCGACTATGAATTATGATTATTTTTATCTATGGGGAAAATGGGCAAAAAATTTTATGTACAGTCTAAATCCTAGGATTAAATTTCGGTATAATATAGAAGCAAGTTTGGACTTTTTTCCTTTTACCAATATAATGTTCTCAGACATACAAAAAAATAAATATATAGTCTATGCAACAAGTAATAATTTCCCTTATATTAAGATTTTTTCTCGATTACCATTAAATGATTTTTATTGTATAATCAATACCAAACTGTAAGCTAGAATCATTTAATGAAGGTAATCTAGAACGTTTCTTTTTATATTATATTTTCCTCTTCTTTCTTTCTTGTCAAAGTTGGATTTTTGAGCACGTCTTCGAACTTCATTGCTGGTCTAGGGTAGCAACAATAATTCAAAGTAAATTAGTGGGTTAGTATCATTTTCTATTACTAATACGATATCTTGACTTATGTAATATTATTTTGGTGTGACTTGTGCAAATTGGTTAATCATAAATCAAAATAGTATTCGAGTTAGTGAAGAAGAATGTGAAATTTTAGTTGAAACGATTGCTTTGTTTTACAAAAGTTAAAATTCAAAGTTGCCCCGTATTGAACCCGCATTAAACCCGCAACCTGCCCCGCCCGCTTTAAAAATTTTAAAAACTGTTTTAACCCGTCCCGCACTCGCATAAGAGTAAACTCGCCCCGCCCCGCCCCACCCCGCCCCACATCAAACAAAAACGCCCCGCCCTATTGCCATCCCTACCTTTTTGTGGCACTGCTAGTCAGATTCAGATTCAAAATTTGAACTTGATAAATCTAACTCTTAAGGTTTCTAATTGGGTACGCTTGAAGTACCGGCAAAATTATTTTCATGTAACATATAAGTCATAGGTTGCAGTTGTGGCGTTAGGATAGGCCGCATACATCACATCCTTAGGATACGGCCTTTCTCCGGACCCAGATGCGGATTCAGGATTTAGTTTTAAAGTTATGGGTTTTGGCCTACATTTGTTGTAATTTTAATGAATTTTTACACACAAATTTATACTTCTCGGCGAGAGTATTGGGTTCAAATGCACCCGCGCGAGCATATCTACATCCGTCCATGTCCGGATCTTGCATGGGCGCAGAATATTTTATGCACCAGGCTGCCCTTCTTTTTAAATTGTGATTTTTTGTACTATTTTATGATTTCTAGTTAATAATATTTTTGTTAGAATTTTAGTGGTTTATATATTATATATATATATATATATATAATATATATATATATATTATATATATATATATATATATATTATATATATATATATTATATCTTATATATATATAGATATATAAGAGCTCTATTAGCCACGGGTGCTACCTACTTCTCAAACTTAAACGTCATGGCTTTTGGTCAATCTATTCAACCGAATGGTTTGGTTTTTATCATTTTTAGGCATTTGGGATGAAATTGAAAATTAACGTCACGAACAAAAGGAGCCCGACACGTATAGAAATAGTCTCAATGTGGTAATTGAGAAAGTGCCTTTAAGTTATTCTAAATGTATATAGTATAACGTAATATATACAAACATGTTTCTACATTTCATACAATTTTAACTCAGTCTTGCAATATTCAAGAGTCACTAATTAAACCGTGACAAAAGCTTTCTTACATCTGATATTTACATCGCTCTTAAGTTGTGTATTTATTCTACATTCTATTAACTGAAATAATATGAAAAAATTCTTTAAAAAAAAAAAAAAGAAAGAGAAACTAAGAGTCAAGATTTTTATTTAGTCTAGGCGTCTAGCTATAAAAGGGAGGTGGGGTTGTGATCATCACCGACCTACATATTTAGGCAGAAAAGTATTAGCTGCATGCAAAAACGGAATCAGAAATTGAAGCTTACGAGTTT